TGTAGAATCAGTACTGAAAGTATTGTCGAAGGGTTCATGTGCACTTTAAATGAACTGCTTCAGAAAAACAAATGATATATTATTACCAGGAAAAACATCCTAGGCTGTGGTCCTTTCCTGGCTATTCTCTGCAGACAACCTTCCCTGATAAAGTCCTAAAAGATAAATAAATGGATGAGAAGTGGAGAAAACAAAAAATGGGAGCATGGGAAATATTTTAGGGATAATCTTCAACCAATGATTTGTTGTTCAGATAAAAGTAAGTATTATATAATTTGAATGTGGTAATAAGTAACTTACCCTTCCTTGCTGCACAAGACCTTCGACACCTATCAAGTCCCTCTGTAGCTCTATCAGTTTTTGAACATTTTCCTATTTACAAAGTGTATAATTATTAGTCAATAAATTTGATATGATTTTTTTGGTGCCATAAAATAAATGTTGCTATTAATCGACAGTAACAAATTAATGTGCATGGGAGGGGGAGTGGGAAAAGCAGTGGTTGCCAGCGTTAGTCTTCTTCCACTAAATCCATTTATACATATTTAGGAGTTTTTTTTTTGTGGAGGGGAGAAAATAGAAAGAAACTTAAGAAAACTTACTAGGCAAAAACCATAATTGGTAGAGAACAGGAATGGTCATAATAATCAGTGATGATAAATATTAACATAATTGATAATAATATATGGTAATGAGTGATTATAAATTCTAATAATAATGACAATGAGCAGCAAACTTGGTATAATACCAGTTTTTTCATGGTTTCATCTGTTTCTCTGACTGCATTTCCCAGTTCTACTAAGGCAGCTAAAAACAAACAAGCAAGCAAACAAGCAAGCATAAGGATTGTGTAGTTTGGCCATGGAGTGAATCAGGGTTTTTGTCAAAATAATAGAAGAATACCATTAACTACTGGAGAGGAATCCCTGGAGAGTCCAGGAACAAGTGATCATTTTATGAATTACCAAGCTATTATTGGTAGTTGAAGACGAAGTATTTTGCTAAGTTACCAGAACATTCAACTGTCCCAGGCCCTTAATGAAAACCCTAACATAATAGGAGAATATCATTAACTACCGGAGAGTCCTGGAGACCAAGTGAACATTTTTTCACATTCCTAAGCTATTAATGGTAGTTTAAGTCAGAGAATTTTGCTGGGCTACTGGAGAATTCTCCGATCCCTGACCCTCAATGAAAACCCTTGTGAATACATAAATCGGGATACATATAAGTTATACATAGTCATACCTTGCAAGTCTTTATAATCTGGGTTAGTACTTGGACAAAACTTTAATAGTCCTGTTGAGAAAATCAAAGTGGAATAAATTAATTTAAGATTGGTAATGTTTAAGAGTAAATGGTTTGAACCCAGGTGTTGAAGTTTGCTGTGAAATGTGATCGTCCAGGTGAGTGTAGTCTTGAGAAAGACTGTTATTTTGGATTTTGGTGATGACTGACGTTTCGACAACCTGAGTGGAAGTCATCTTCAGAGTCCAGTGAGTTCAGTTTTGACTTCCGCTCAGGTTGTCAAAATGTAAGTCAACACCAACAACAGTCTTTCTCAAGACTACACTCACACAGATGATCATGTTTTACAACAAACTATGTTTAATAGCTAGGGTCTACTGGAATATGTTTTGGATTTCAGAGCATTCTAACCCTTATTTACTTTGGTACACATGTCTTTTGAGTCCAGTGAAATGCAGAAACAATACTCAAGGGAATGAATGACACATGGTCTGAAATGGAACATTATTGCTCACAACATAGTGAGTAATTTACTTTAACAGGGGTTGTGTGCAGTGTGTGTGCAATTGGCTAGAAGAATGGAGTAAACTAACTTGCTTGGAACAACTTACTTTCAAGCAGAAATTTGTAGTGAAGAAGTCTCTGAGATGGTTTGACAAGGAATGCATTCAGAGGGAGATAGCACACCTTTTGAGTCTGGGGTGTGAAAAGAAAAAGAAAAAATAGTGAAACTGTCGTTGTCCCGGATGAAAATGACAATCAATACAACACAAACTTGCTCACTGTAGTCGTTTCAACAGATGCCACTGTATATACTGTGACTTAGAGCAGTTTTCATATGACTGTGAAAAGCTCAGTGCCGTAAGCGTGACGTGCTGTGACCGTGATCCTTTCTAGAATTTTAATTGGCTGATTTTTTTCATGCGCAATATGATTGGTCTAAAAGTGCCTTGACCTTGGCGTAACGGTGTCTGCGCCGTGTTTATGCCGTGTTCCGGGTATTTGATTGGATGGAGAGTAAATTCTCGTGCAATGTGATTGGTCYGACGTATCACTTGCTGTGTCATGACCGTGTTCGTGCCGTGAGCTTTTCACGGTCATACGAAAACTGCTCTATGAGTATCCATCCTTACATACCTCAAATTCCTTGTAGATGCTATCAAACTGTTTGTTCTTTTTGGTAGCAGTTTCCAAGTTAAGCATCACCTGATCATGTCGTTTAAGGTGTGCAACATATCGCTGTGGAAACAACATTATCATGATTAGTAACGATATCCCACATTGTGTAGTTCCAAGAATTATCCATACCCCCCTCACAGAGGAATTTTCTTAAGACACCCCCCTACCCCCCAGAGATTCCAATTTTCTTCCATACAAACTCTGTAATTTTTGTTCTTTGTCTGACCCCCCTACTCTTCGGAAATTCCAAATTCCTCTGTGGATGATTTCTGGAACTATACATTAATATCAGTCATCATCTGCTTACTTTTATCTGTTTCATATTGCTAAGCATCAGGTCTCCAAATATTGGTGGCTTGGCATTCTCTGCAATTCTTTCATCCCTGAATTATGGAAAAAAATGAATTATATAATGATGTAGATAAAACTAAACTGTTTTTTTCTCTAAAGCAGAAGTAGATCGATCCATAACGATTTTAAGTTGGATGACTGTCACCTAGAAAGGCATGACATAGGGCGCTTTCCATTAAGTCAAACCAACCAGTCCGACGGCCAGTTTTTAAATGGTACTCATCAGTTTTCATAAGTTTTTAGAAYTCGGCCAATCAGCTGGCCGTTCAGACTGGTTGGTTTGATGTAATGGAAAGCGCCCATAGTGTACTTTTTGGATTCTACCATTTCCTTTGTTCTTATTATTTTTCAACCCCAAGGGGGTGGGGTGACTAGCCATCCATACCACACCACCCCCTCTCCCCTGGTCTGCCCTTGCTAAAGTCTTATAATTTTCTTACCATAAAGCCATTCTTTCTTCTAATTCAGCCAGGAAAGTGCAATGGAAATCATAGATAGGATCAATGGTTGAAAATAGCAGGTTCTTGGAAGAATCTGGAAGAACTCCTGGAGGACTGACGACTTCTCTGAATGACTAAATACAATTAATTTTTGTTTAAATCAAAATATCAATTATAATTTAAACTTATTAACGATGGATATGCTATGATATACGTGGTCGAGGCATGCTATATCTACCAGCAGTTCTTGGTTATTGCATTTAGTTTTTTGCCCTCCCCCTCCCCCTGGGTTGGAATGTCCCCCCCTGGACAATAGCTGAATTAATTCTGATTTCTCTGGGGAAAGGAGGGGTTGGGTCAAAGGAGGGAAAATGTCATCATATTATGACCAGAGATGTATTATAGTAGTATGTATGTTTATAATTAGCTATTGATGATTATAATGACGGAATAAACAAATCACGCTATAAAGTATAATGACTTACGATGGTTATTACTTCCAAGTCCTTTACATAACTGAAACAAAACCAAAATTAAGTAAATATAGATTCTGATTATTCTATTTTTTCCTTTCATACATTCATTTTCATTCATTTATCTATTTAGGTTTTCCATTCATTCATTTCTTTTCATTTATTCTTACGTTCTTTCTGTGTTCAGAAGCTCTTTTGCGATGGTATAAGCTGCTCCAGAACCTGACTGTAGAGAGAAAAAAAAAATTAACTACCACCACTAATTAGTAGGATATTGTTTTACCCAATATTCATTCTTTACTCACAACTCCCCCTGCAGAATGTTTTGTTATTACCACCTCCCCCTCAGGTATCTTTTGTCACTACCTCTCAGCCTTTTGTCACTACCATCTTCCCCTCAGGTATATTTTGTCACTACCAACTTCAACTCAGGTATCTTGTCACTACCACCTCCCCCTCAGACATCTTTTGTCACTACCACCTCCCACTCGGGTATCTTTTGTCACTACCACCTCCCCTCAGACATCTTTTGTCACTACCACCTCCCCCTCAGACATCTTTTGTCATACCACCTTCCACTCGGGTATCTTTTGTCACTACCACCTTGTTTATCATTTTGCAGAGTATGTACCTTTACCCACCTTAGATAAGGTCTGTTCTGATTTCAATGCTGTCACCAGAATTGGCGAAGCTGGAGGTGAAGCCTCAGTATCGCTACGGAACATTGGTGACACTTGTTCTTCAAAAACATTGTCATGCCCATCCCGCTGCTCTGCATCATCATCTGTGCTATGACGGGAACCTGAACTCCCTGAAAAACACACAAGATAAGGTTAAAACTCATGGGAAAAAGTGTGGGCATGTGTAGAGGGAAATGAAGCTATTTCCTGACAACTCCTTTCCTGTAAAAGAAACCTTGTGAAAGATTATCATTTTTGACCTTAGGTATATGGAAAGCTCACATGAAAGCTATGATATGAAAATTTGAATAGGGCATTGAATTTTAGTTTTAGATATCAAACTCTGATCAGTAAAAATAGCATTGCAAGTCAAATATTTTGTAGGAAAGAACAGAGAAGTAGAGAGGGAGTGTAAGGAGAGTGGAGGGGTCAAAAAATAAAATCAACTCTATAAATAACATGCAATAAAGATGTATCATAATATTTCTAGTGTGGCATTTGTCATGCATAGCAAGACACAGCAAGGGAGCTACTCCTGTCTGAGCTGAAGTCAACAGATAAAATATATACAATAGATAGTCAATAGTGGGGCTAACATGACAAGTCAATGGCAGGCAGGAATTAACGGACATATGTGAATAACCACTTCAGGTAATCAGATATAAATAGTATCATCTCCTGATCAAATTATCAATGATCTAGTGCTGGTATGAAAATCTAACTGTTCTAACTAAGATCTAACTAAGATATCACTATGATAGAAATATACCAAGCATATATTTCTATTTCAAAATGAAAGAATATCTAAATTATATATGATGAAATTATTTATATGCTAGGAAGTAGTATAGATATGATTTGTCATTCGTCTCTAGCTGAAAGAAACTCAGAAAAAAAAATTATTGTTGATAGTTAAAGCTGGTTCTTATCAAGGGAGTTTCAGCTTAAAGGAAGGAAATTAAGTTATGTACATGTATAAGATAGGAAAACATGAATGTGAAAGTAAATCTTTTGAGTAGAACAAACATATTGTTCTTGACATATGAAAACCAAAAGTGAAACCACAATCTCATGTCAAGTAGTTGAGCTTAATTAATGTTTGATTGAAGCATCCTCTAGACAAAGGATTCTTATGAATGAATGTAAACATTTCCCTTTGTGGTGTAAATTGAGCATTAAGGGAACAGAACTGTGGTTATTGTGGAAATTCTTTGGATGGTTGACATAGTTTTGATACAAAGAGAGTAACAACAGGTACATCAGCTGGAAGCACGTGTTGGGACAAGATGTTTGATGTATGAATAATGTAGGGTATTTGACTAGATTATATCTCATTGGAATCAGCTTTTTTATCTCCAACTATTCCTATGGTTGTAGTTTTAGTTCTACAGATGGAACGAAACTGTAAAACATTAAACTCACTTAAAAATACATTTTTTGCTTTTTAAATTGTAACAATTTTTTAAATTCCATTTCAAGTTAAGCAAAACCGGACAAAGTTTTATTTCAGTAAAGTTATTAAAATAAACAAACAACGATGAGCACACTCTTATGCAAATATCAATCTTATTAAAGTTATCAATTATTTACGAGTCATTTTATGAGTAAAGGTGGCATCTTGTGGAACACCTGGTGCTTCTACAGCAACCATGAAAAAATGATGTATTTTATTATCATGAGGATGATATAACAAAAATATTTGTGGTTTTTAGCCAATCAGGATGCAGTTTTGCATTCTGATACGACAGGTTTATGGGCCTATCRTTTAGAGGAAAAAATACTCATGTTTAACCAGCCAATCAGAATTGAGCTGAATTTTTATAGGACTGAATTATTATTCTATTGGAACATAAAAAATACATGCATTATGCATACAGTTCTATAATTATATCAAACATATTGGAGTCTTTTAGCCAATCAGGATCAAGCTTAGATTCATATTGGACTGGATTGTCCTAAGAATGACTTCATCAATGTTAATCTCACTTTAGCCAATCAGGAAAAACTTAATTACGAAAAAAGATTTATACCTATTGGTCATGCCTATAATATGTAAACTTCTTCATTTTTCAGCCAATCAGGAAGTACTCAGACGGTTTCACTCAGACTATAGGATTGGCCTAAACCCAAGATTAAAAATATCAACCAATCAGAATACAGCTTTTATTATCTTTGCTAATGAATAGAAACAGACTCTTAATTGTATAAACTTTTAGCCAATTAAGACAGATTTAATTATCAGGTGTCTGGGAACAAACCATATGGCTTTATTGGTTATGAATTAGCAAGATTACAACTGAATTCATTTTAATAATTGCCTTTATAACTCATTAGTTTAAAGAAATTTAATTGGCCTAGGAATATTAAACAAATTTTTATTAAGGTTATCATTTTCTTGTGGTTTTTAAAAATGATTTTGGAAAAAAAATAATTAAGAAAACACCAATATGTACTTTAAATAAATTAAAATGAAAGGAAATTGGAAAGTGAAAAATAAAATCGATAAAGTATGAAGATATTGTGAAGGTATCGTTTTGTCTTCAAAAGGGAAAAGTTAATTCAGGGCTTATGCCAGACAGACAGTGTGAATGAGTAGTAGGATATTCAACCAACATAACGTCCACAACAAATTAAATCGTCGTTACAGACAAGAAATGCGAGGTAGATATAGACACAGAAGGCATTATGACAGCATTAACTGCATTCATGGTTAAAGACAAGAACAAAAATCACAAATGAACAGCAATTAGTGAAAAGATAGTTGACAACACCAGCATAATAACTGTCAGCTTATGGTTAACAACAAAGCCACACATATACATATCATTATATTAATATTAATATTATAGTTACACATTTTTCAAGGTTGGAAATAAGATTTCAAACAACAGAGTATTAATAAGTGAAAAAGATTTTATTACTGTATATAAAGAGTGTTGTATATTTTAAGAATATTTTCAGGTAAATGCAGGAGTATGTTAAATTTAACTCAAATAACTTCAAGTTTACTACATGAAGAAAAGTTTTTTTTAAATTTTGCATTAAAAGTGTGAGGTTACTTGGAGGGTAATTATTTTTCTATATAAGTGGGATAAATGTCCTCCATGAAGAGTAGCTTGATATTATGTCGTGTTTAGTAGTAATTCATTTCATGTCGTCACCATTTATGACTATTAACATATTTTGTTATTAAGCATATTTTTATATGTGTTAGTAATTAGGAATCGGTTGAATTCTATTCACAACCTATTGCTTTTTTACTAGTTATGTGAATATATATCTCTCGGCCCATGACTCGTATTAAAGCATTAATACCCTCTAAATACAATTTTTCCTACATGTTTTGACCTTTAATTTAGAAATTTAAAACAGAAACAGTAACGGAAATCTGGGTAAACTTTATCGTCATACTATACTCTAATGATATCCAATAACATATTTACTCCATTGAAGAATAATACATGCTATGTTCACTATTTATAAAGTCACATTTGATATGATTTTTAAGGTGCCATTGACACCCTCTACTTTTTTTCATTAACTTACAAGGAAGATTTTGTGTGTATGGGAATGTATGGTTACTATAACAACATAGTTGCCATGACAAAATTCAACAGACTGTCAGTCAATCAAAATGCAGGAAACTGGCAACATTCCACACTTTCCATTCTGAGTATCCAATCAAAATTTTAAATTTTGCAGAGGAAAATGAGAGGATCCAGAGGAAAACCCTCAAAGCACAGGGAAAACCCCCAGTGTACACTCAACTTTTGCACAACATGACAATATATCCCCATGCTTCAATGGTGAGACATCAGAGCCCTTTCCCCACTGAGCTACCCACTAAGATTTTTATAGAAGTCAAATTTTAACCAATTTTTCCAATATTTTCAAAATTTTAAAAGCAAGGGAACTGTAACATTTGAGCACTGGTGTCAAAGTAAAACCATATGCTTCCAAAACACACAAAATCTTCTCTATAACTACTTACCATGTATATAATTATCTAATATAATAATTCATAAAATCTATGGATTATCTCTTTTAAAAGTCTTCATCAAAACCGATGGTTAGTCTAGTTAGAGTGAAACTAGAGCTAAAATTATTAATATTTGCTCAAAAAGAATTATTTCTACACAATTGTTTCTTGTTCCATATACGATAGTAATAATTGTGCAGTTGTTTCATAATATATAATAAAATGAAATGATCAAAAATGTAAAAGCTGTTAAAATATAAGTCATAAAAGAGTATAAATTGAATTAACTTTTGGAAATCTGTGCATCAAAAGTACGATTTTTTCAATGCTAGCAGACTTTTCAACTGCAATCATGTGTCTGTCTCTGCATAATTGACAATCTCCTTTTGGGAATTAGAGGATAGCTTACCACTCAAGGACACAGGATAATGATTAATTATAATTAACAGTTCAGTTACAATTTATGACTTTAACTTTAACTTGTCAAAACTGCAAAATTTGTCATACAAAACTGTATTTATTTCCTGTGTATTGGGTAATAGCAAACAATATGACCCCAAAATTGGTGTGTCTTACGACTTCATACCAATGACCTATTGATATCCTACCAATAATCTACCAATATCCTACCAATAACCTAATATCCTACCAACACCCTACCGGCACCAATTTGGGGGTCATATTGCTTACTATTACTGCAGTATTCACATACAGCATATATACTTTGTAGACCCTTTTTATCCACCCAGGAATCACTGAAGTTCAGAGTCAGACTCTGTACCTTTTCCATGCTGTGACACTTCTCCATTTTGTACTTTGACTACACTTGTGCATGTTATCTGGAGAGGCTCGTGGCTTTTCTGTTCATGGTAACCATTTGTTTGCACAACAGGCATGTTGTTGGGTTCCTCATCCATCCTAGGATATCAGTAACAGTATCTCAATAAAATTTAGCCATAATCAAGTCTAGGTCTAGTCTAATTGAGTTTATACTTTGCTACTACAGACAATCCATTTAGTTGCCCAGGAAATATTAGTTAACAGCTGGAAATTCACAAGGAAACCTAGATGGCAGCTATGAAGGCCATTGCCAAACCCCCAGGAACAAGGCACGAGTGAACAGCTAATGTGATGCAGACAACTAGTCTACATAAATTATTAGTCCATGAAGGCAAGATCCCACAGTCTTTGCTCTACTCCCTAGTTATTGTTGCAAAGTAGGACAAGCTAAAATGTGTTTTAGATGTACAGCATGTAACAGACATAGATTTCTGGAAATTTTAAATGTTGGTCTTAGAATTAATGCATTCTAAAGGTACATTAAGAAAAAACTCGATAACTATAAAAAAATTTATGAATTCRAGTTTATTGGTCAGACATTCTGTATTCCTTTGGAAAACTTCCCATTGTTTGGGTGGACACTCAAGCATAGCCAGGATTGGTCTATTGTTTAATAACTATGAACAAACTCTTTGGAATGATTTAAGTTAAGGTACTACCTGTCAGGATCCGGGCTATCACGAAGGAGTTCTGGTGGTGGTGACGGCAATGTTTCCATGGGAGGTGTAGGAAATTCTTCCTGTTCATCACGCGCTAATTCTACTGGCCTAAATTCTTTGGATGCAATTTCTTCGTCTTCCACTTCCTCATTGGGGAAGGGTGGGGGAGGTGATTCCACTCCATCAACTTCAATAGGAGTCGGTGGTCTTGGTTGTGGTTTGCACTCAATTTCGATGGCACCCGGTGGCAGTATAATGTCCCTGTTCCTATCTTCATTAGGGGCCATATGTTGAATTTCATTCTGAGGAGGAAGCTCACTTATGACTTCTTCTTGCCATTCCAAGTCTTGTTGCGACACGGATGATACTGATGACTCATCTCTCATCATGTCTGGTTCATGATCAAGGTCTTTTAGTGGGATATCCTCATCAGGGTTTTCAGCTGACTGTACCTTGATTACCGACCCAGGTTCATGTAGTTCTTCATGATCAGATTCCTCTTCCATTGCATCCATTCCATTCTCCAGTGGCAGACCCTCTATTTGCAGTTCTGGTGTATCTGTTGTATGTTGATCTTCATCTGGTCGTACTGGGGCAGATTCCACTACTCTTGTTTCAGCATCACCAAATCCTCCATAAGGTTTGGCTGTAGATTGGCTTGTGCGAGGTGTGTTGTTTCTGTTTGGGGTTTTTAAGCTCTGGGTTCTTTGAGAGTAAATTTGATAGTATAATTTGTTATAAAATGTTACGTAAATAGTAAAGATTTTTTGGTACAACAAACCAATCAATGCAATAACACAATTTAAATTCTAAATTCTTGTTGCAATTCTCATTATTCTGCCAACTCAGACATTTCCATGGCACATTGTGTAGTTCCAGAAATATTCATATCCCACCCACGGAGGAAATTGGAAATTCTGGAGGGGACGGAGGGTCAGAGAAAGAACAAAAATACAGAGTTTATATGGAAGAAAATTTGAAGTTCGTAGGGGTAGGGGGGCTCTTTTACAAATTCCCTCTGTGATGTTGGTATGGATATTTTCTGGAACTACACGTTAGCATAGCATGACATGACACCCATGCCCACCCTGTAACAAACTTGGGGTAGGGTGTTTGCAGATCCCAGCAGAGCGAACAGGGGGGGGGGGGAGGGTGGGGGATGGGGGTGTAGAAAAATGAAGAGTATCTGACCTGTTAAAAGCTAGTTGCTGTCTGGAGTTTTCCATGGTAGATTCAATGATCTGTTTTTGTGTTCGACCACTAAATCTGTAGGAGGACCCTCTACTGAACACTTTGGGTCTGTGTTTTGGTGGACTTTGACTCTGTGATTGTCTGAAATACAATGAATAGGCATTATAAACACAAAATAATGTTATCGAACCTTGAAACAATCCCTGAACTAATCAAGTCAGAGAAAGTGTTAATTACAGATGGAATCAAAATTTAAGCATATGGGTTTTGTGGAGTGAGGAATGAATGAATGAATAAATGGATGAATGAATGAATTTATTGAATTTATGAATTAATGAATAAATAAATAAATGGATAAATATATATATAAATAAACGAATGAATGAATGAATGAATGACTGAATCTGAGACCCCAAATTTTAATAGAGAGAGATGGAGCCATACCAACAGGACTGATTATTGAGGGGATAAGGACTAGGTATATATTATGATTATTAAGGGGGTTAAGACTAGGTATTGATATATTCTGGATGAGGATATACTGATAATTTTTTTCCTACCTGAAAAATGCATGTGTTGAAATGGCAACTTTCCAGAAGCTTTTGCATGCGTCTCTACTACCCATCTGGAACTCTACCACATCTTTATAATGACCCTACATCCAAAATAAGGAGAAAGGAAAAGAGCCTTGAAATATTTCCCTGTATAAATATCTGCAACAAATTGCAGCATAAACGACTACAACAACAAAAGCAACAACAATAGGAGCAGCAGCAACAGAAACTGCTTCAATAACTGCGACAAGAACAATAACAGTAACAGCAACAGCATCAACCAAAGCAATAGTGACAACAACAACAGCAACACCAGAAAAAGTATCAATTTTTTTCTTACGAATATTTCAGGATGGAGTTTAATGAGGAATCTTTTTCTTTTGAAGCTTAGCTTTCTGATTTTTGCCCTGCAAATACAAAACAGAGCTAACACTAATTCGACACTGCTACACTGTAAATTGAAACTATCAAGTTAAGGTAATAATAATATACAAGAAGTCAAACCCCACTTGATAACACACAAACCCTGCTATCAAAGACACCTTTTTAGCAGCACTTGACTGCGTTTATTAAAAGCCTGTTAAAGTTAAGTCACATCCAAAAAAATGGGCTAACAAAGCTCTAGAGAGTGAATGACACAGACAAGGAATTGGTGACACGGAGTTTTGTGAGGCCATTATGATGATGATTATCATTGATAGTAATTACCATGATAGGGTATTGATTTTTGCGCCAGACTGGAACACAAGTATGCCCATGTTTGCAGCTGCAAGATCGAGTTCTACATTATCTTTATCCTGGAAAAATAAAAACACGATATTTCAACACATCGAAATTTTTTCTGAATCTTTCACTTCCAGAAATTAATAAAAATCGATGAAAATCTAAATGTCTTTTCAGCCATTTCCCCATAATTTTCACAGGTGTGAACTTGTGGTCCACAACCAGGTACCTCACAACTCTTTAAAGCAGGTAGAAAGAGAAAGGTGAATATACAGCCACCCTGATAAGTAAGATAATAAAGTCACACAGATACTACTTACCCTTGCTGGATAGAGTATTATACCGTACATTTCTAGTCGCCGAGCCACATCCAGAAGATTATAATCACAATCTGATGGACTAAATCCCCTGGAAAATGAGGGCACAATTAGAAGATTAGGTAGTGTAAGCAATAAATAGGGAATCTAGAGGCTTTCTGGTCTATTTACACAATGTATTTCATTGTAAGCAGTTTAAATTCTCATGGAAAAAGTTGTATTATTAACAAACTTACTTGTGCTGTTTGTGGAACTCTGCAATTTTTGCTTCCGAGTCTACATTCTGAATGAAAGTAAAACGCTCACATAAGACACAGTGTAATGTCGTGTGGAGTGGAGTATGGTTTGTTATGGAGGAATTGATGCAGTGTAGCATGGTGTAGTCTAGTATGTTGGTATGTGTAGTTTGGTGTGGTGTGGTCTGGTGTGGAGTATGGTTAATATAGAGTGTGTAAAGTGGTGCATTTGTGGTGTGATATTTTAGTTACTATACAAAGTAGTTTTGTGTGGCATATAGTGATGTGGGCTGGTGTGGTGTGCTGTAGTACAGTATTAAGGTGTTAAGTGTAGTATGATGTCATGTGGTGTGGTGCTGTGTGGGTGCTGTGTGGGGGGTGTTGTGTGGGGTATGGTATGGGATAGGGTGTAGCATGGTGGGATATGGTATGGGACGGGGTGTAGCATGGTGTGGTATGGTGTAGGTTGGGATGTCATATATTTTGTTGTGGTATGGTATAGCACAGCGTAGTAATATCTAATAACCTAAAACAACAATGAATTGTAAAACCAATTTACCTGTTCTGGAAAAAACTGGAATTCAGCAAGATATCCTGGACGACAAGTCAGCGAGTCAAAGTCTCCAAGTTCCCCTTAAAACAAGACAATAGTTAAGATCTGATAAAACAAAGTCTTCTAAAAAAGAACTGCTGACATGTAAAGAGCCTTTATCACACGACAGTCATGTTGACAAAAACAATAGATTTTCTCTTGGATGCTTTGCATTCAAATGCTTTAGGATGAGGTTACACACAAAGGTTCTTTTTCTCATGCGAATAAATATGACACCATGAGATTAAGGTCCATGGAATATAAATAACCAATAAAATGGGAATACCACAAACATTGAATTAGTATCTTGTTTCAGCATCTATTTATCTTACAGTGTTTCTCAAAAATCATGACAAAATAGGGTTTTGATGGTGTCAATAAAATTGTTGCCACGACATTGTTAGAAGTTCAAGGCATTTCCGTGACATTCTATAAGCAAGTTCACTTGCCTATAGAATGTCATGGAAATGGCTTGATTAACATCCACCAAAACCTACTTCATTATAAAGATGATTGTGAGTGTGTGGAAGCACTGTACATGCTCAACTGGAAATAAAACATTTCTTGTAATATATGCTTACCTTGAACGATATATGATGCTAATAATGCAGCTGTACTCTCTGAACACTTTAATCTAGTGAAAAATATTGACATTAGCACAAGTTGATACTATTTGTTACAGGGCTAAAAAAATGTTTAAGTATTTAGACAACATCTATATCTGGCCAGACCTGGAATTTGTAAGGTCAAATCTTTGCCTTGCCTTGACAATTTTCCAGTCATGTTAAGCCAGAAAACATTTTTGTAGAGAACAAAAAAAGTCGTGATTTTTTTTTGAATACTAACCTTCCACTTAAGAGATCTCTTTTTACTTGAAGAGCAAACATGTATCTAGAAGAGAAAAGCAATTTAACCAAAAATGACATCGACAAACTAAACAATAATTTAAAATTTGCAACACATTTTCTTTCTGATTAACCTTGGATGATCTTGTGAATCAAGAGTGGTGTAGCAGTAGTATGCTTGACCCTCACCTCTGGGGTCTCTTGTTACATTTCTGGACCCAGCATTATTTTGTTACTGTAGGTTTCCTCCTTGATTGAGGGTTTTTCTCCAGGTTCTCTAGTTTTCCACCCTATTCAAATTCCCTGCTAGCAGAGCCTATTTTCCTTTTGTTTTGGTRGAGTGAGAAAAATAGACTCTGCCAATGTAGGACGTTATACCGGTTTTAAAACTGATTTTGTTCATCCATGGTCATGGATGGCAGTGTATCAAAGGAAATGCTCTACATCGGCAGAGTTTCCCTCCTCCCTCCCCCTAAAAGAAGGGAGAGAGAGGAGAGACTCTGATAGCAGGGAATCTGCAAACAACTCAACATGCTAAATTCCAATTCAATCTGCAAGTTAGCTGTGGACTGACTTTGAACAGCCAAGAGGTTGTTTCAGGTTTTTATAGAATGTGAATTTTTTTTCAATCTGTGATCCAATAGACAATGCATTGTGCATCACTCTATATACTGGTAGTACATACCTTGTATACTCCTCTTGTAACATTGAAGGGTCTGGAGCATAGAATTTGACACTAAATCTCAGCAGAACCTTGCTCATGTCTAAAGGAGAAAAATTAAATGTTACCATAAATAAATAAATAATCAATGAAAGAATCAAGGGCAGCGTAACGTAGTGGTACTGCACTCGCCTCTCACCTCTGGGGTCTCAGCTTTGATTCCTGAGTAGAGTTCATTGGGGTTTTCCCTTTATTTGAGGGTTTTTCTCCAGGTTCTCCTGATTTACTCCCTCTCTAAAACTTAACATTCTAAATTCCAATTTGATCTGTGAATTAGCCATGCCCTGACTTTGATCAGCCCAGAGGTTGTTTCAGGGTTTGATCTGTTAATTATCCATGTCCTAATTTGATCAGCCCAGAGGATGGTTCATGGTTCGATCTGTGAGTTGATCAGTAGATCAGCCCAGAGGTTGTTTCAGGGTTTGATCTTTAAATTAGCCATGCCCTGACTTAGATCAGCCCAGAGGTTGTTTCTGGGTTCAATCTGTGAATTAGCTGTGCCCTGACTTAGATAAGCCCAGAGGTTGTTTCAGGGTTCAATCTGTGAATTAGCCATGCCCTGACTTTAATCAGGCCAAAGGTTGTTTCAGGGTATCAATAAAATTTGAGGTTTAGATGTCAATATTTGACGGGAATATAAAGACTACTCTAACGTATCAAAAACATTACACGTCAAATACAATTCACTAGTAGCCATTCAAGAAGTACCAACATACTATTTTAGACTTATAAAAGTGTAGTTTTTTATTACCATGTATTTGTTTGTTGATTGGCTTCTGCTGGTCCAGCCAGAACTAAATAATGCAAAAATAAATTAATTAGTAAAAAAATTTTTATTTTAATGTGAATAAGAAAATCCAAGGGCATAAAGTAAGCTCCAGCTTCAACAAAGCTGCAGTTTTTGTGAAATAAGAATAAATGGGAATGGACAGGATGTTCTTACCAGATTATCAGTTTTGTCATAGTAATGAAGCCCAAAATATTCACATTCCTCCAGGTTTAAGTATTCGTACACTTGTTTGTATAATACATCTCCTTTCTCTTTAGACTGAAAAGAATTAATAATATAAAAACAATTATAAGCAATGTTTTCCTTTCTCATATTTTATTCCATTCCCTTGAGAATAAGTTTCTTTGTTCAAGTCTCAATCCTTCAAATTTATCAATACCCATATCAATGGCTCACTTACAGATCGAACCCTGAAACAACCTCTGGGCTGATCAAAGTCAGGGCATGCCTCACTTGCAGATCAAACCCTGAAACAACCTCTAGGCTGATCAAAATCAGGGCATGGCTCACTTACAGATCAAACCCTGAAACAACCTCTGGACTGATCAAAGTCAGGGCATGGCTCACTCACAGATCGAATTGTGGTTTTGCAGAGAAAGGAAAATTGAAGAACCCAGAGAAAAACCCTCCATTCCAAGGAGAGACCTAACAAACTCTACTTAGATGTGATGCTTTCAAACCTGAATCAAACCAGAGACCCCACATGAGAGACGTGAGTGAACTACCACCATGCCACCCTTGATTCCACGATATTCATGCATGCTAAATATAGCTTTAGTGGTATTAGCCTGGTTACACTAGAAATATTAGCATAAAGACATAAGCAAGGCGTTGCAGTACAAACTCTAAAACCGTGCAAAACTTTGCACTATTTAGCATCAAATAGCACCGATTCAACAATAGAATAAGCATCATTTAACACTATTTAGGTTGAGCGCTTTTAGTGTTCATACTGTAGTATTGATGGTTTTCAAMCATTCCCAAGAGAATTAAATAACAAAAGACATGGCAGCCATGTTGGAGGATATAACAAAAGAAAATTTTTCATTGACAATTCTTTTGTTAAGTTCCTCCAACATGGCCGCCGTGAAAACCATCAATTTCACATCTTTTAGTCAACCCTTTATGATTAGGTGAAGGAAACATTCAGTCAACTTCAGTCGCTTGTGTCACTAGCGAAAACAAGCCAAAGAAAAGAAATGATACTCAAGGGAATGACAAGTGCAGAGGATTTAATAATTTTTGAAGTAGGAATCTCTCAGTGCTGCACTAGTATTAATGATTTTCCATTTCATCCTGAAATAGCCAGTAGCTGCTTTCCATTGAAATCTTAGTGCAAGTGGTCTAAGATGGGAAAATAGTCAATGTTTCTTTCTTATCAATAGATTAACTAAAAGCTTTTTTGATCTTTGATTTTATGGTTTATCCTTCTAAAAGGACAATAGTCATGCAATTTGGTAACATAGTTATCRATCAATAAACATTTCAACACACAAATAAATGGTTGTATTTTTTAGGTTTTCGCATGAGTCTGGCAATAAAATAAGTTACTTTTTAGGGTTTAAATTATTATTCTGAAAATCAGCAATGGCCAAATAAGACTAAATTTCACCAAATAATAATCAAAGGCTTGTAATTTACATATTACGCATGTTCAAATGATAATCAGATAAAATAATAATCTTAGCTTTGCTTGTCCTTTGAGTTAAAAACATTAATCTCTTGAGGGCTAATCTATCTTAATGCAGAAGTAAAATAGAAATGGTAAAATGAATGATTGAAAGGTAGGATTATCAGAAATTAATCTTTTGCGTAATGGTAACCTCAGGGGCCGAGTGTATATGTATCTATAATATGTATATATTTAGATAACTTATCTTTTATTTTTATTTCTTAGCTACTGGCCATCAGATGCCAAGCTTCTGATAGATCACTTACATGTGAGCTCTACACCTTTGACTGGTTTAAGCAATCCCATCAATAAAGATGAAGGAAAACGATGAATGAATGAATGAATATAAAATGTCCCAGCAACGATCAAAAGTACTAATAAAAGCAATAGAACCAACGAAAGTATTTCTAATTAGTTTTTCAACTACTGCTTCGTTTAAGCAATTAGCGTTTAAACATTTTCATACTACTACCACTACTACTAAAACCCCTCGTGCATTTTCTTTCGTTTTGATAATTAGCACCAATTGTTTTACTATTTTTGTAAGGGAACACAAATTTAAATATGAAAGAAAATTTGTAAATCATTTTGTAAGTTGTACCTATAGCCAAATGACACCCTTGTGTAAACGGCCTATTAAAATCCAGAATTCTTAATTTCTCGTAGAAAAAAAGAGAAAATCTGTCGATTTGCAATCTTGAATAAATACAAAACATGAACCATCTGCAAAGTAAAGAGACAATGCGAACATAATCTAGAAAAATCCTAAAAAAAATACTTTTAAATACCAGTAACAAATAATAATAAGAGTAAAAACTAGATTTATACTTTAATTTATTTCCAAAATTAGATCTTTAGCAGGTGGTAAATCATACGTATATGTCATGAAAAGTGGCACAAAAACGTCAATTTGATAAAAGTTAATTGTTTATAAATTGAGGTGCCTTCTGCGTTTCATGTTTTGCCTTTCTGGCCCCATTCAGTCTTTAATTTGACAATCTCGATTCATAACTGCATTCAAATTTTTCAAAAATAAAATAGACAAAACTTTTGACACAGGTTTTAAATGAACTAAATGACTATGGGTGACCAAAACTGTACTCTAGGATTTGAGCTTCTTGTGAGGTAGACTGTGATAAGTGCGTACTTTAGATTTTTATGAAAACAAAACCCTAAAAGTTTCAAGTGATGTATTAATGATAGAAATTCAAACTGAACAAAATGTTTAAAACCATATTTAACAGCAATGACAATGATTATAGTGTGATATACAGTAAGAGCAAGGCAATCTTGTTTAATTTTTTATTCCCGCTTCAGATAAGGTACAAAGTTTCAAGTTATTTATCAATAATAGAAAATAAAGAACAAAATGTTTGAAACCATTTTTAACAGCAATGACAATGATTATAGGATAACATAAGAGCAAAGGAAGCTATATTTACTTCTGCTTCAGATATAGTACAAACAATTTTTTTCCTAAAAAAAGAACAGATTAACTATACAACAAGTAAAAAAGTCTTCACTATTCTGAATAATGAGTTATTGCATTGTGCCACCTCAAGCAGTTCACATCCTTTTTCCAACAAAAAGCTCAATGAATTAATGATAAAATTATGAAAAACCCATATTGGGAACACTCAAGTTTCTTCCTCCCATAAAATTTTCTGTTCCTACTTGCGTAAACATTTTCAACAATTAATCAAATCACTTCCAAAACAATGCGTCAATCAACGGAAGCTATTATCAGTAATGAAATTCTTGTTTTGAAAACAGATTTTTCCAAGAAAAACTGACAACTGGCAAACACCTTATTTTTTTTTTGCTTCAGCTAATGGCTTCAACCGAAATTTAAAGGTGTCATCTTTGATATTACGGAACAATAAAGCATTATAAAGAATGGCTTTCGACCTCTTGCCAACTTTCATCTTTAAAGTAAAGAAACTCTGAATGTCAACTCACAGCATTAAGTTTATATGATCTACAACATTCATATACGCAAGGCTCAACAATGAGTTTATTCTTAATAGAKGGATAAATCACATCCTGAACATTAAAAATCTTGTTTCTAAGGTCATACTGCTTCATCAGACTCTAAAATCTGTAAAAGAGGATTCACTGGTCTTTGGTAATTACAGAGAGTAAAATATTTGACGAGATTTAGTTTGTGCGAATAAAATGTCTGGGATTTACACTTAGATCCATGAATAATTACGTCGACATACCTGTCAAAATGGATTTATATACTCCTATACAGGTCAACCTAGTTATTAGGAAACACTTAATAATATATGCATATTTATATAGATCAATATATTTTCTGATGTCATCCTGCTAAACAGGTAAAAGTGCAATTGGACACACTCAAGTATACTTTCTTATGTTTTTGCTATCTTATCTTTAACCAAAAGAAATATTAGGAACTGGGAATGACGATGCCATGAAGAATGTCGCATAGACACCTAAGTAATTTGAACCAAAGAAAATCAATGTTCCCAGATTATTTTCTTATTACTTTATCCTGGTTATTTAAGCTGTTTTATGCTCAAAAATCCGACTTAATTTTTATATTGATAATGAAAATTAGATGCATAAATGAATATGAAACTAATGGGTAGTCAACATATTGGGCCAACACAGAACCTAGTCTACAAACTTATCTGTTATATTGAATTAAATATATGTAATTCTCGGATGAAAGAATTTCTTGCAAACCAACATCAGAGCTTAAAAGAGATTAAGTGAGTAGAATATTATTAAAAAACCAAGGTCAAAAGAAAATAGTTTCGCATTAAATCATTCTGATAAAATTGGACTGAGGATAATCATTAGACACACGTTCTGAGGTAAAAAAAAGAAAGAAAGAAAGAAAAATAGAAACGAATTTTCTTGAGTCATACATAAGTTATGATATTTTTCTAAAATATTCTAGTTTTAGCTACGAATGCCTTCCGTTTCTGCTCTTTAGAAAATGGGGATAGATGGTTAACCAGCTATTTTACAAATGGAAGGACAAGTACATATAGTTTCGATAATGCACTTGTAACCTTTTTAATGAGCCATAACAGAAACTTCACTTATCGAGAAAGTGAATTCTTAGCTGGTATTTGATCGATGAGAACATCGAAATTTAGAAAACAAAGGATCTAAATATTAGACGAGCTGTGAATGATGGATACGTATTTTAAAGTAAAATCAAAGAAATCAAAGGCTATATCAAAGAGGACCTAGAGTAGAGATATTGGTGAGATCGGCTTTTCTCTCTGGAATATTGGGTTTAAATTGAAAACAAAACTAACACGAATAGAAGTGTGAAAACTAGAATAATTGTAGCGAACGTTCTAATTGAAAAAATTACCATAGACTAAAGATTTGAAAGGCAACGAAAACAGAACGAGATATCGATCCAGAATTCCCCCTGGAAAAAAACCACATTATATTCAACATTCAAACCCGAAATCTTAAATTATGCCTTCGAGGATTAATAAGAACGTTTGTTAAAATCGTAAGTGACTTTTAAAGGCTAATCTGAGGGTTGGAAAAATGTTAAAAAGTGTGGTAGAAATCGCAGAAATTTCATCACATGGGGGAGCGATCCACTATGTGGTCTCTAAAGTTATTATTAAAACCCGCGAAAGAACCTTTGTTGTAACCATTTTTTTCTTTCTCTGGACTAATGATTAGGCTTTTAAAGAGGCCACTTTGCGACAAATTACATCGTCTTCCTATCGAAGTATCAAAGAAAAGAATGGCAGTTTGTCGTAAGGACACTAGAAAAAAATAAGTCGATCTAATTTGGTGCACAATGAACGAACGACAACGAGCTCGCAGACTTGTTGGCACATTCAGATCAAGATTGGCCACGCTAACAAGTGTAATTCTTTTTAAAATATTGGAGTGCGTTCTACTTTCCATACGGTTAATCAGGCTTGTATTCAATCTTAGAAAATACGAGAAATATCAGTGTGAGTAGCTCACAGCTGTGGCCGTGTTTTGCTTACTCGAAGGTCGCCGACGACGTCCAAGACTCAAATACCACACGAGCTTCTTGCTGTGGTCTGTACTAATGTTATTTCAACATAGATATGTTGGGATAATTTCATAGTATTGCTTTTCTAGGCTCCTAATAAAGACTGACTAAGGCTAAGCGTACCTCAACGTCGAATTTAACCACGGAGTCGTCGAGCATACACACTTTTATAGCGGCTTTCCGTCGACCTCTTCTCTGACCACCACTCCCTTCCTCGTTCACTTCGTACGAACGCCGGGCCATTTCTAAAATTCGTACTTTTTCTTGTCACAATTAAAGCGTTAAAACACTAAAATACGGTACAAGTACAAATGCTCCAGGCCTCCAATCATGCGCTTAAGCGCTGTTAAACCCTAGACAACTCGAAAAGAAAGTGCGAATCAGAGAAAGTTTCAAGTTTTTTTGGGTAAAAAGGACATGAACACAGACTACTCTCAGATGCTTCGACTAACTCTGCCTCTGATTGGACAATATCCATAACAATAGGTCACTATCCTTATTTGGTATCAAAATGGCGGACGCAAACAACCGGAAGTAAAACTTCCAAATACTTAGGTTTCGTGAAACAAAGAGGTGCATTCCAAAAATGGAGGTCGGTTGGCGGGATTATGTTAAGGGAAGTGGGTTTCATTGCAGGGTAAACAATAATGTGAGTAGTTTGAAATATTTGTTGAATTTGTTATGCTGTTGAGTGGTTCAAGTTGAATTTGATACTTATTTGTAACCTGATAAAGTCATTAACTAAGGATTACTCATTGTGTTGATATGAACTACTGCTATATGTTCTTAACACCAAGCGTATCTTCTTTGAATAGATAACACGAGCTGGTGGTTTAAAAATAAAGGGTATGAAAAAATCTACATCTGGGGGCTGTAGGTATACCACACTACATATCACATGACCTTTATCAGTTCTCAAACGATGACTCAACTATTTGAATATTATTGAGCTACATAATACAGACAATAAAAGTATTATGTAGCTCAATGTTTCACACAATGAATAAAAGGAGGTCATTAAGGGGTAAAATGGGAGTTTTTGGGTTGGAAACTATGAGTTTTATGCGGACTGGGAACGGGATTTACAAACAAAAAACAATCAATAAATGGGAATGGGATTGAGATTTGAGCAAAACACAGGCTGGGACCGATTGGATATGGTCAAAATTGGGGCCTGGAAATGGAATTAGGACGACACCCTTCAGGATCTTCTCAAAAATATTTTGAAAAAAACCCCGCTTTTAGTCAAAATTCCTCAACTAACCTAAAATAAAAACACATTTATTTATTCATTCGTTCGTTTGCTCGAACCCTTCATTTTTTTAAACTACAAAAATGGGGATGATCAAATCCGATTTTCCCGCCTTTTTTCTTTCGCCTCTTTTAACGAAGTATTCATAGTCGATATCACTAACTGCTTGAAGATACAGGAATGACTGTATTTATCAAAATCATCATTCAAAGGTTAATCTCTCAGTCTTTGTCTGGAGTTTTATACGGCGAAAGCCTCAGTAAACATTAGGTTGATTATCCAGTAATCAGTAATAAAAATAAAAATAAATAGTTGAATATCGTTTCAACTCAAAGAAGAGCAGAAGAAAATCCTAACGATGATCATGATAACATACTCTTAATTTCGTGTCAGTGACAAATTCTTCGATTGCTCATAAGCTTACTTTATTAACCATACCAAAATAGCCGGCATGTTTTTGCTTTTGAGTCTCTCGTGAATGCTTGCAGCCCATCAATATAAGAATAAAGACTGTTTTCCAATTTTGGCCCACATTTTGCGGCGAAGTCCCCCGAGGGACTAGTACCGAACCGTCTCTAGCATTCTCCCCCCCCCCCCCCCCCCCCCCCCCCCCCCCCCCCCATTCACAAACATACTCTATAATGATGCAGTCACAGTCACACAAATTCATGAACATTAGCTCCGGGGTGGCAATACTAGTCATATGCAGCTCGACCGATTGGCATTCTATCACGTGACTACCTACAGAAAACAGGAGATCCACAGTTACAGGTAAATCTCGTTTAATTTCCCAATATTACGTTACGTTATCCAATACAAAATTAATCTGATTGAAGTCATTTCTGAGTTAACATACATCATCCAATGTGATTGAAGCTAATGTGTCGTAGTAGATAATATCATCACCGTAGGTACGAAAGATAGTAGACTGACGTTTCGGACGTTAGTCCTTCGTCGGAGTAAATTGAAGCTAGTTGTTTTTACTCATGTTTTACGATCTGTTTCAGGCCAAGCATTTTATTCGAGTGTACATAGAACTGATACAGTCCTATTCAAAACACGCTCTCTTCATCGCCGTCTGAAGGAGAGCTATTATTATCCAAGGATTTCAGTTCTTCATCATCTTGTTTTTCAACATCCGGGGAAGCTTCCTTCTTCAGTTCATGCGTGGATAATTTCTCGACAATACCGCAGCCATAGGCGTCACCCATGATGTTCGGGAGACCACGGAATCGATCTCTGTTGGTAATAAATGTAAGGCATGAATGAATAGAGGAAGGGAGGGAGGAAGGGAGGGAGGGAGGGAGGGAGGGAGGGATGGATGGATAGATGAATGGATCGATGGAGGGATGGAACCCAAATCCCCAGCATCACTTACATAAACCAATCGACCGCGAAGATCAGACCAATATCATCTGGTGGAACATTGATGGCTTGACAGACAATCACCATGGTGATAAGACCTGCTGATGGAACAGCGGCGGCTCCAATTGCGGCAGCAGTGGCTGTGATGCTATCAAATGAGCCAAAAATCAGTGCTAGTAAGAGTGGTTCATATTAATGTCCTGAAAACGATCCGTCAAGTTTTAATTCGCCTACCATGTATGTAGTACCGAGTACGTACATGATGATCAAAGGAAGGCATGAATAGAGGGAAAGACGCAAGGAAGGAAGGAAGCAAGGAAGAAGGAAGAAGGAAGAAGGAAGAAGGAAGAAGGAAGAA